CCGGGGCTGGGGCTTATTGATGCTTTGGGTTTCTGTGCTGGTTTTTGTTGAATGGTTGCTGTCAGAATGTCAGATGTTTGGGTTTTCTAGTCAAGAGTGACATAATTGTTAATATATTGAATTTTACTCTGGTAATGCTATGTTGTTTTTTGTGTGATAGTACCATGGTGTTCTTTGAAATACCTTAGAGTACCATGTAAATATCATGCATATCATCATATATCCAGAGTGCCATGTTGTTACCATCCAATACTATGATTGCACCATTTTGTGTTTATTTTTTTTTTTGGTAGGGTTTTACTTTTTAGCCTTTTAGTCTTTTATAGAGCAGTCAGATTGTAATTTGTGAGCAATTTTGTGCTTTTGCATGCTGGAAAAAAGAGTTTAAACCAGCCTAAAGTGGTCTTGACATCATACTAAACTGGTTTCCAGCTAGATTTTTGATGGTTTTAGAGGGATTTTGGACACTTTTGAACAGTTTATCCTTGCTCATAGACCAGCATATATCTGTTAAGACCATCAAACCACCTAAGGCTGGTTTAAGTTGTTATTTTAAGTAGGGTGTGATGATCTTGTTGGGATTTCATGGAGGAAAGTTCACTGGAAGTGTGGATTTCCCTTTGTGTAGGTGTAGGCATGTGTTTGTTTCTTCACAGTGTGCAACATTTTATACTCATAAGATCAATAAAAAGATCCATAATTCCATTGTAACACTAAGTTCATACAAAGTCAGGAATATGAACACTAATATTGGAATATGAACACCCTTATCTGTGAAGTTATGCTGCAAGATTTCATACTTAAAATGACAGTTACCTTAAAGTCAGTTGACATTTATTTGACAAATTTTCTTTAAAATTTCAATAGGAATCCATGCGTTTGGGAATTTTGCACAGGGGCGAAAGATTTACAGCACAAATTTCGCAATTGTTTCAAGTTGTTCATGCAGATTCGCCACTCGTTGACTGGCAAAAAGCTGCTTGATTTGAAAATGACGTCTTTGTGAGAACATTAACAATAGACAATGTACTTTTTTGCCTGCAATTTTTCACTAATATGACGCATCTTTAGGGTTAGGGGTTTGTTCAGACAGGAGTTTGTGAGCTCTACACCTCAGCAAACACCACTAACAAGTGTGTTTTCCTTTCACAGCAGTGACATTGGCATTTTCCCAGCAGTTAATGTGTTTTATTGTGTTGTGTGCTGGACGTGCAGGGTTTCTCTCTGCTGTTATGCTGTTCTGAGACTCAAGGACACTGAGAGAAACACTGTAATTCATCCTTTGTGTGTCCTTGTGTGGGCATTCAAGGACCGCTAAGACACTCGCCGCTAATGAACAAGGAAAGCAGCTTTCACACGTTAAAAAAAAAAAAAACGTGTCAGCCAAAATAAGCACCTATAGTCTGCTAAGTAAATAAAGGTAGTTGAAAGTCAATATTAGCACTTTTCTCTTTGCAAAATGCTAATCACAAGGATGGTTTTAATGAGCAGCTGGTTACATATTTTCATGAATCGGTTGTTTTTTCTTATCCTGAGCTGGGGCTTGTTGATGCTTTGGGTTTATGTGCTGGTTTTTGTTGGTGTTTTGTGGATTGTTGCTCTCAGAATGTCAGATGTTTGGGTTTTCTAGTAAAAAGTGCCATTGTTTTACATAGTGTAAGTAATTTGTACATGGAACATTCTACTGTGTTAATACTTGATACTAGAGCCCAACCGATATATCGTTTTGCCGATTTTATCAGCCGATATGCCATATCATTCATATGCCACCGATATGAATTTTTTTTTACAGAACATAAAACGCAGATAAAATGCTTGTAGATGGTGTAATTACGTAGTTTGTCCAGCTTCATTGTTTGCTACTGACGATCTGGATGAAACGCTTTAAAGCTTAAGGGTATGGAATACCATTGAAACTTTGAACAGCCATATGAGACCATTTGAGACCACCTCCGCATCGATAGCCTCCGGTGTCCGGGAGTTACGGGCCGCCGCATTCACGAGATAGTGACACCAGCCAACACTTTCACTTCAGTAAGGAGGTCTCTTGTTCAGGCAGCAGCATTCAAGCGTTGTCTTATTCGACCATAAGTGCCCTGTGAAGTGGACTTCACTTGATATTCACCATGTCTCTGTGATAACGGGATCACAAACATCTTGACAGTTCTCTCCCCGCTTGTGGCAGCTGATGAACTTGAACTTGAACTTGATATTCCGCCATGATTCCAGTTCGAAGGGAATGTATACGTTGCATTCAAAGGGCATTACAGTGCGTGAGACGTGAATTTAAATTGTATTTCTTTACAGAGGTATATTATGTCACAATTCACACTTCTCTAGTAAGTTTCATCTGTGTGTGAAGACAGTAGTGCAAATCCGTGAATGAATGTTCCGGAGTGAAATAAACTTCAATGGAATAAAGTTGAATGGAATTGAATTTAAATAAAGTTGAATAAACTTCCACTTTACTGTTCAGTGCACTGATGTCAGACTCATTTTGCATAATAAAGTTTATTGTTAAATTGTTAAAGGGATAGTTCACCCAAAAATGAAAATTTGAACTATCCCTTTAAGTGCCCTGCCTCCATTACATATCTCTGTCACGCCATTATAAGTGTTTGATCACCACATTTGAGTGAACATTGCAAAAAATGTGTTTATGTATATATATTCTGTTTATGTATATACTGTATTCTATATATAGTACCCATCAAAAGCTTGGACACACAAATGGGAAAGTGTCAAAACTTTTGATTGGTACTGTGCTATAATATACACAAAGAATATCGGCCGATATATCGATATCGATACGATATATCTCTTTTTCAATCACTGGGTTTTGTACGAGAGGTTTTCTGTGTGCAGTAGCCTTGATCTTCCTCTGCAAATAATCTTTTATGTCTCTGTTTTAAAAAGCCTCCGATGTTACTTTTGGTGGATGTGTGGTGTACGAAAGGGCTACTTCTCTCCCGCTCTCCTTGTTTCCCAATGCACTTGTCTCTGGCTGTGCCGTTTCAGAGAATGATGGAGAAATTCTGTGGAAATCTGACAGCTGATGTATCCGAAAGCGTGTGAACATGTCTCTGTGATAACGGGATCACAAACATCTTGACAGTTCTCTCCCCGCTTGTGGCAGCTGATGATGTTTTAGCTAATGACTAAAGTGACAGGTGAAGCCCGACACCCCTCAGAGATGAAATTCTGCGTCTCTGATTTAGGACCTGATTTATTTGTTTACACGCAGACAGAGACACAATGTGAAGCCAATATTCCCTGACACTCCTGAGGATTTATTTTGAAGCAGTTCTTCTTTAATAACACACATAATAATTATCCTATTACCTGACAGATGTAAAATTGTTGCCCTGAGAAATCGCACCTGATGTAGTCTTTGTGAGAAGCATAAACAGCCCATGGTCAGTCAGAAATGCTTTATTTACATACATTGAGGTTTACTAATATCCTGTTACCTGACAGAGAGGGCAGGTAAGTGTGAAATTTAGCAAAATGTCTGAAATCACTTTCAGAACTTTTAAAGCAATGAAGTGAGCTTTTCTTTACTTAGCCCTAGAACTGGGCGATATGGCCAAAAAATTATCTCGATAATTTTTTTCATATCAGTTGATATCGATAATTATCTCGATAAATGTCAAATCTTTATTTCTTTCAAGTTTAAAGCCAGATTTTGGCTCCAAAGTGAAAGTTGTAGAAATCAGACCATTAAGTTTCCTTAACAAAATAAATATCTTAATAGAAAAATAAGTTTCTGCATGTTCTGCATGTAATATTGTTTCAAATCAAGAAACGGGTTTGTGTTGCCTGATAATATTAATAATAATATTACTTTTTTGTCTCTTAGAAATGCACATTTGATAGTAGTAGCTAGCTGGGATACAGATGTACATTTTTGTTCATTATCAAAATAAGTAACATCTGTAAAAATTGTAGCAATCTCATTTTTATATGGTGAAATTTAATTATTCAGTGTTTTTTTTTTTAAATAGTAATTGGACTTCCATAGTAGCATACCTTTAAATCATGATAAACACAGTTAAAACCACACATATAGCACACCTCAATACCATGGTAAAAATATAACTATATGGTTTTTAGGTATTTGTATGAAAAACTGTAGTCTAAAAACATTTAGCATAGACTAAATGCACACATACTATAGCTTAATCACAAAAATACTGTAATTATACTCCATTACTCATTTAATTCATGTCTACATTAATAATAATAAAAATTAGATACAAATACCCACACTTTCTGACACAATACCATGGTGTAGTTAGTGTTACTACAGTAAATCTATGGTAAATGATGGCGATTTGTAGATTGAAAAGTCTCCTGACTGGATCGTTGCACACAGTGTTTCTTCTGTTTGTCAGCGCGGTTTCATCTAGCGTTAAACTAGTTAAAATCATTTGTGTTCTTCGCTGAATCCGAACGCTTCTCACTGGATCTCACAGTGCTGTTTAGTGAGTAAACACATCTGCTCTAGTGAGCTCGCGCCGTGCCGCACAGCTGTTTGAACTTTTATCTGAGTGGATAAACGGTCCGAGTGTCGCGCTTCAAACGAGTCGCGCTGTTTCGTTCCACTTTTGGCGCCGGATAGATAGATGGTACTTTACAGTCTGTCAGTGTTACTGCCAGAATGACAGTCCATGTGCCATCCCAGTCGTTCCCATAGCAACCGCATCCATGGACAGGTGCTCATGTTTTGGTTGCCGTTCAAAAGAAATGAAGACATTTCAGAAGAACAGGGAGGGAGGGATGGAGAGAGAGAGCCAAAAAGATGGAGTGATGGAGGAGAGGAGAGGCTGAAAATAGAGCAAATGAGTGCTAATGATTTTTATAGCATTCTTCATTCTGACAGGCATCTGAGCAGCGGGATCCAGCTGCAGGTGCAGCGGGAGTGTGTGTGTGTGTGTGGTAATAACAGCACAGGACTGTCAGATGTCTCACTCTTCATCACTGTCTTTCTCTCTCTGTAGAGTACGGAGCAGGTTGCAGCTTTCTGCCGCAGTCTGCACGAGATGAATCCCTCATCCGAGGTTGTCTCTTCCTCGTCCGGCCCGGAGTCTTCCTCGCTCCCTCCGAGCAACGCCACTCCACGCCAGCTCTCCGATGCCGACAAACTCCGCAAAGTCATCTGCGAACTTGTGGAGACGGAGCGCACCTATGTCAAAGTCAGTACCAGTGTGTGTGTGTGTGTGTGTTTTTAGTCAGACATGCTCGTCTGTGTGTTAGACTTAAACATAAGTTTGTGCCCTTCATCGAGTCGAGGCCTGGAGGGAAAGAAATTGTCCCCTTGGCTTGCCTTTTTCTGCACCCACTCACTCTTTGGCAGTGTTTGAAATGGAATACTAGCATACTGCGTAGTACATACTGCCTTAAAACTAGCATTTAAAACAGAACGCCGTGATTTAAAACAGCAGTTTGTCACATGACCTCACAGAAATCTATGCGGTGTGCTTTATTGTACATTTAAAGAGATAGTTCACCTAAAAAAGACAATTCTGTCATTTTTTTCTTCTTCTATGGAACACAAAAGAAGATATTAGTCATGTACACACTGCAGCTAAATACAATTCACCATTTAATGCTTAATGCTGTTCTGCACACACACATTTCAGTAATTTATGGGAGTGACAATTGCATTCTACAACTGAATTCATTCCTGAAAAATGCAGGTAGTGACAACAGAATTTACAGAAATTATATACAGTGAATATAAAACTGAATTGAAAAAGTAGTTGTTAATGATGTATTTAAATGCATATCAGAGTTTTGTTTCTGTATGTGCAGTGCAAGAATTCACAGGATACGTTTTGACTCGGTGTTGCCAGATCTTGCTGGATTCTTTCTACAATATACATGTTTGCTCGCTGTGTTGAGATTAACGACAGAGCCGTGACAGTATTTTCCCGTCTCTCTGAGGACAGCTGAAATTACAGTTACACCTTCACCAACATCCTGCCCGGCGCTGGGAATATGTGCGGTGTGTTCGGATTCATCTGCCTGTTTGAGCAAAGAACTAAATCTACAGTCTGAATGAAGCACCCCAGCAGAAATGAAACCTGACATGAGTGTGTGATGAGGCTGAGCAATATAGCTGAAGAAATTGTTTATATGTATGTGTGTGTGTGTGTGTGTGTGTGTGTGTGTGTATGTGTATATTATATACCATGGCC